AAAAAAAAAAAAAAAAAAAAAAAAAAAAAAAAAAAAAAAAAAAAAAAAAAAAAAAACATTAAAATGCTGACCATCTGCTAAAAGGTGCCCTGAGAATGAAGTTCAAGTATTAGAGGAGATATACTTTTGAGATTTTTTTTTTTTTTTTGCTTTTGATGCATTTGTATAAATGCAGGGATGACTCTTGCCTGAGAGTTCAGATGAGCCCCAGTACCTGGACCAAACCAAAAGAAAAGAATATAAATGAATGTATTAAGAACCTCATTTCATCCCCAATACCCCATCTAAAAAGCAAGCTAAATGCCCTAGATTCAGACTCCATGGTCCAAAGCCTGACTCCTGGGCTTCTGCGTTTTCTTAGTGTGGCCGTCGACATTCGCTCTCCACACCGTCCACCCTGCTCTGCACCCTGAGGGGCTGTCTTGTGTGGGTGGTAGCAGCTGGGCTCCTCCTTTCCCCTGTTGCATCTGGCAACTGAAGAGAATCTGAGGAGAATTTGGAGTACTCTATCCTGCACTCTTTCACTGCCTGCCCACGTGTTCACGTTGGCATGTTCCTCATTAGAGGCCGCACCTTCTGTCTGTAGCCTTCTCTTATAGCCACAGCTACCAACTTTCTGGGTCAGAGACCCTGGCTAACCCCTTCCCACAACTTAGTCCTTCCAGCTCCCGTATTCCAGTCCCAGAGCACATTATTGTTTCTCTGTATCCTCTCCATTGAAAATAGTCCCTTCCCTCTGCTTTTCTAATTGCTTGTGCCCAGATCTGCCTGGATACCCTCATCCCCCCTCAGGGCCCTCATCATGAGGGCTGAGACCACTGGCACCGCCCCCCTACCCATTCCCTGTACTGTACAGTCCCCACAGCCACCTTCTGCAGCCAGCTTTTTCCACCTAGTCCTGCCACTGTCCTACTTTGTCTTAGTGAGTGTGTGTCAGTGATGGTGCTCATGCCCCTCCCTGTGGCAGCCAGAGCTGCGGTGGAGAGATGTCTTCCAGAGGATTCCAGTTGAACAACTCAGGCAGGCTAAGAGCCTGGATATTGCAAAAAGTGACCTTGAAACTGTCCTTGAGATTGGAATGAAGGTTTATGAGGTGAAGCTGAATAGTTAAATGATCTTTCTCAAAAATCTGAAGCATTTGCCAGAAAGCATAAGTGTATTATGTTTTATATCACCCTGATTTGGTATTATATGACTTGATTCTGAAATATTTTCCCCAAATTTTTGGAACTGAATAAAAATATTTAATAAATATAAATTTATCAGTATGTATATATAGCAAACTGTTATAGTATACAATATCCATTTTCTCCCCTTCCCAAGTGTGATTGTGTGTTGTTAGCCAATGAAAGCTAACAGGACAAACTGTACCGTACCCTCTCAGCTAAGGATGATTAGTTCGTCATACTGTAAATACAGTCTGCAACGAACCCGCCACCTCCCTACCTGAGTGGAGTGTGTTCTGCAATGTGCATATTTACTTTCTGCCATTTAATCTAAAGAAAACTTTGAACTCTTAATGGCTGACAAAACGTCTGTAAAGGATAGTACTGGACTTGCTGCAAAGAAATACATGAAAAATCATTCCCTGAGTGAATTTTGTGATTGGAGGAGACTTTGAGGAAGTTGTTGGGGAAAGAGCAAGTTAGGAAGAGTAGTCAGTTAGGGATGGGCGGGAGACCTTTGCCATCTTGAGGAACTTTGAAAACGTTCTTGCAGCCTGGGATGATTGACCAAGATGGTAGGCATGGTAGCCGGAAGAAACAAGGCAGGAGGCCTGTCGTGACTTGAAGGATGTTGAAGAGAACCATAGAGAGCCTTTCTGTGGCTAAAGGCCTTGGTGCTAAGGTGGGGATGTCATGGATCTGCAAAGAGACTATGCTCTAAGCACCCGGTTCAGTGGCACGCCCATTTCCCGCACTGCACCCACTCTCTGTGCTAAAAGGGCTCCAGGAACTGTTTCTTTTCTGTTTTCTGTAACAGTTACTCTGAATGTCCTGACAAATGAAACAAAGGGAAGAAAGAAAATTTTCACCTAGAGCTTCCCAAACACAGTTTGCTGCAGCTTTGCAAAACAGGCAAAATAAGCAGCTGTCATGCATTCACCAAATTCAGGACTCTCCCAAGTATTAAATCAATCCTGTCAAAGCAGTTTTATTGCTGATGGATGAATGGATTGAAGGAGATACATAGCTTTAAAAGAGCTTGCCATCTGGAGTAGAAAACGTGCTGTGAGGCCCAGTCGCTTGGCACCATCCTTTCAGAGCCCAACAGTATTTACTGGGTCCAATTTTGCTGCTCCTGGGCTTACTTTGTTGAATTGTGCTATTTTAAGAGCATTCTACTTTTCATGAACTTAACATCAAATTCAAAATATTTCCATGATTCTGGTAGGTTGTAAAGAGCCATAGTTATTCACTCAAAACAGTTAATAGTCCAGGGATTGACCCAGCTTGGTCTTTTGGCAACTGTACCAGACTCATATCTGGGTCTCACTTTATTATAATTATCTTAATTTATTATCTTATTGTTTCTCTAATTAGTAACTTGACTCTTTCAACATGGGTGACACATTGGACTCTCTTGTTTATTGCTGAAATTTAAGTGGGAGTGAAATTTTTTAATAACGGCTCCGTCTTATGTGTAAAGAGGGTCATCACTAGCAAGGCCTATGCTGTGTTTATTTTCTGGAGGCAGTGATGGGTTTACCTTGATCTACTTATTTTCTTTCACTCAGTTGTCATGTTCATGTAATAAGAGGCTGGGGTTTGTGAATTCATCTGGGACACATGAGAAGTGGCCTCTTTAGCTTTAGTTGAGCACAGTGGCTCAACTAAG